TAATCTACAGTGTGACGTTTGAATATCGACTCGTTCTATTTATCATCTTTGATCTCATCAATTTCTGAATCAATCGCCTTGATACTTACTTTTACATTTTTTCACAAGGTTCCTCGGGATTATGGCCTAGATAAATTGCTTTCTTACAATACTTTCGCAATTCTGGAAAAAAGGTTGGCACAAAAATTATAATTAGTGTAAATAACAATAATATTAACAGATTAACCAATAAACTTATTTAACGAGTAAATTAAAATTACTGTAAATATTCTTTTGTTATTTACGAGGACACGATAATAACTATTGAAAATCGTAACCTAGCGATAAATTTGTATACTCTTGCAATAATGGTTTTGTTCCCATAACTTTTGTTTGTATCACTTAAAACTAATCGAGATATCCGAGTTGAAATCCGCCTGCATGTCTAACCGTCCGTCCTTCTGTCTGTACAAGTAAAATAAATGCTGAGTAAAAATTGAGATATCGTAATTAATGTTTTGGACCACTGCCACGAAAAACTTATAAAGGGTAAAACTTATAAAGGGCACTAAATTAAGATAGGGAACTTTAATTTGGCATAGGTATTCGCAGTTACAAGAGGGAAATCTGGGCTAAAAATTAATGGTCATGCTGTTAACTGCACCACCTCTAAATCTAATATATATTTTGAATATAATTACTTTGACATTCTTTTTAACATTTCTTCTCTTACTTTTTCATTTTTTTTAAATATATATTTAGTTTGTTAATAAAATAACCGATTATGCTTATTAACAAAGTTTTATTGGGGTTAGTGTATCAAAAATTTCCCATCTCAAATCAGCATTTGTTGTTTTAATAGATTACACAAAAACCAAATTACAAATGGCTTAAATTTCTCTTCTTTACAATATAATATAATTTAAAAAGTTTCCAGTGGGATTTCATATATTTTCCTACCTGTTGTTGTATTGTTTTCAAATGTTATCAAATAAATTGTGTAAAAATTTGTATTATATTTTCAAGTTCACTGATTATTAATTTGTTAAAATTGCCTTGTAGTTGTTTTATAATCTGTATTAATTCCGTAATTGATTTAAAACAGTTCTAATTTTGAATAACATTTTCAAACAATAATCTTCGTAAAATGATATATTCAAAAATTACTGCATGTTTTCATTCGATAAGTATATAATTTTCTCTAGTATAGTAGTCTATTATGGCCGGTATGATAGTAGTGATATATATAAAGATCAATGAAATTTTAATATAATATGATCACACCTAGTCAAATAAGTATTTTCTTATATCTACTTCAACTTATTATTTTTACATTTATAATAAAAAATTAATAAACAAACTTACCATTTTTGTCGAACACTTTGCCATTTTTCCGCTAGACACAATATTCCATCAGTGAAAATCGAAATTTTGAAATTTCTGGAACAGAAGCGAGCAAACCATTTCTCTGCTACACCAACTGATACAGTATCGTCCATTATCTATTTTTATACAAAAATTTCAATATATTGCGAAGTTCTTCATATTTTCACTCATTTTTAAACAGCTATAACTTTTTCCTTGGAGGATGGAGTCATGTGTAGAAGTTCACGCAAGTGCGGAAAGTTCTCTGATCGCCATTCACTTGGGAGTGGCCAGAAACGATTCTTTTACAT